GCAGTGTCTTTGAGTAACTCACCAGGGGATGGGGTCCTGTGAGGGACACCATTAGAATTCTGCCCACCCAGTGAGGCCTGGGAGTTAGCAGGGGTCATGTCAACCAGGGTCTCGAAGGCCATGGTGAAACTTCAGGGTTTTGTCCTGATTGGATGGGAGCCATTAGCAGGTTTGGAGCAGGGAGCAGCCTGAGTAAGAATCACCCTGGCTTCTCTGGAGACTGTGGAGCTGGGAGGGTATTGGAGGGGTCAAGTGAGAGATGACGGTGGCCCGGACTAGAGTGGAATGTAGTGAACGCTGTGGTCCCCCAGATGTGCCATATTGTCTCCCCCCACACGTTTGCACATGCTTCTGTCATCACCTGGGCGTTTCTCACCCCGACCTACTCCGCAGCTTCTTCCCAGGGACGAGTCCCTACCGAGTCCTCAAACCTTAGCTCATGCGTCACCTGAAGGGCCCCTCTGTGCTGTTTCCCTCTCACTGACCCTCTCAGTCACCTGAGTTGTGTTGGGTCTGTATATCTGTTTTCCCCACTTGCCTGAATCTCTCTGGGAGGAGAACCTTTGGCTGTGGTTCCTGTGTCCACTGCGCACACTGGCCTGCTGCATAGCATGTTGTAGATGCTTGTATGGTTGTGTGTGGGGGGTGATTGGAAGACCTATGGAGATACTGGGCATGAAGAAGCCATGTCACTGCCCTTCAGGTGTTCATCTTGTAGAGGGAGAGACCATGCTAAATAAATGCATAACGCAGTGAGCTGGAATGCAAACACATGACATGTGTACAAAGGAGGTGTGGCAACTCTGGAAATTACTAGTGTATATGGGGTTTCTGGGGAGCCTTTATCCTGCTCAGTCTGGAATAGTTGGATCTGTGTTTCACATCCCTCCATTGCATGAAATAATCATTCCGTTATAAATGATTCTTCCTTATGTTATATCCAAAAGGACATTTGTTTGGCAACACTGTTAGCCATTAATTTATTCTATAATATTTAAAGACTAAGCATTCCGTCATTTAAAACTCTCTATAATTTAAGACAGACATAGAGTACTTCCTTCCCCATCTGTATTCCAACCACGCAGAAAAAATCTGTCTGAAATTTTCCTTGTGTATTTAAATGGAGAACCTCTTAACTCAAAATAGCAAACACTTACAGATCAAGTGTCCTTTTTAGAGGCAGGAAATTATTAACCTGGTTACAGATGAGAAACAAACTAAAATAGTAAATATGTCATTTCTGTGGCTCCCAGCTAGATATCCGTCAGTACGAAATAATACTAAAGAATTAGTATGGGATACTAAAGAATAATTTAACTGGAGTAAACACGGGAGTGTTATTTAAAACTTAATAAACTTAAGAACAGAATAACAGGGGAGCCCAGTTTCGATCTGCTGCTTCGCTGTGGCCTGTGGCCCGTGTAGCACAGGGTGGCATGACTGGCAGAGGGGTCGTGGGTGCCTGCCAGACTCTCAAGCTGCAAAGAGAGATGCACATAACATCATGGATTCCCACGGTGGGGATATATAACTGGCATAAGCTAAAAAAGAAAGTTTTTTTTTTAAAACCTTTTCGTGGATATTGCCAAGTTCCTCTGTTTGTGTTCCAGTGATCTCTGTAGGGGAATATAAATTTGTGGTTTAAGGAGTGTTTGCTGCACAGTCTTGTATGAATAATTAGATATTCTATTTCAAATTAGAGGCTGGGGCTACAGGGCCAAGTGCTGTGTTTCCAAGCTCATGTCTTCTTTCTGGTTAGCTGGGATCTGGTGGCTGGCTGAGAAAGGAGACACAGCTCTTCTGCATTTAAATATAATTTGGTTCAAAGCAATGATTTTTAAAAGTTTTTGATTTGTAACATACTAGCTTGGTTTTATTATACTCTCCTTGTATTCTCTCCTCACCACTCTCAAAAGGAAGAGGAGAAAATGAAATCCACTAGAGAACTCCTTGGAGCGCTGAGCTTGGATGGAAGGACACTTGGATTCTTCTGTGCTCTCGAAACAGAATGAACAAGGCTCCCGGACTAGAGTTCATCTGGGAGCAGGGTCAAGAGGGATGTCAGTATTATCCCTAACCAGTGCCTCCCAGTTTCCTTCTCTTCTGCATAGTGGAGAATCAAACAGGAGCCCAGGGGGCTCATCCAAGGTGGGGGACATTTGAGAGAACCCCCTAGGCTCCTAGGTGCCAGGGTCTTGGGGTGGGAGAGCACAGGCTACCCCTCCTCAAGGTGCCCCTGTTGCTGAAAAATATTTTACTGTAAGAATGATATTTGAGCACCTAAAAAAAAGGAGAGTTAAAATTGCAGGTCATGACTATATGGTTTTGGTATTTGGCAGCCCAAAATGAATGAAATGAAGCTCAAGGAAAATATTTAACAGTGTTAGCTGCCAATTGAAAAGTTAAGTGAAAATGAGAATTTTGGAAAACTTGTATTTTCCACCATGAACTTGATGCTTCCCAATAACTGCTGATGACATCAATGATGATATTAACAAATGTGATTTTTTAAAATATTACAATGAAATACGTCAAAATTTGGAAGATCTGCATAACTCAGTGAACTAGTATTTTCCAGGGTAGTAATTACAAAATCATATACGGATAAAAGGTTCATTCAAACTGCAAGATAGATACACAAGAGTAGCATGTATGGATTTAGGATTCCACATTACAACTAATCTTTAAGAAACTACCACTTGAAAAAAAAAAAGAAGAAGAAAAAGAAACTATCACTTGTTGAGTTTTGGCATGGTATCAAAGAAGATCATAATTATTTGAAAGTCTATTAAAATACCCATCCCTTTTCCAATTACATATCTGTGTGAGGATGGACTTTCTTCATTTTTTCCACTAAGACATATCATAATATATTGGATGCAGGAATAAATATGAGAATTCATCTGTCCTCTAAGCCAAACATTACACATTACATTTGCAAAATTGTAAGATAGGATCACTCTCCTCACTAAATTCTTGTTATGAAAAACATTTATTTTTAATATAAATGTCATTTTATGTAAACATATAGTGGGTTTACTTTTATAATATTTATTAATAAATATTTTGAAATTTTCTCAGTTTAATTTCTAGTATCATCAGCAGATATAACTTCCATGAACAACAGCTCTTTGGGGTCCTCAGTAATTTAGTGTGAGAAGAGATTCTGGGAACAATAACATTTGAGAGCCATTGATTTAAACAGCCCACACCTGTACTGCTTATCCATGCATTAAGACATGTATGTGTGAATGTACATAATGTACACTTTTAAGTTACATAAAATTTGAAGAAGATAGAAACAACATTTCAATGGTTCTAACATCTTTCTGCACTCAGAGGGCCAGACAACTGGGCCACATGATTAGCATAAGACTGGATGGCTATACGCTTAAAATATTAATTCTGTAGATAACCAGGGGCTCTTGAACTTAAAAGAGATTTGGCCAAAGAGCTGCTGACAAAGTTTTTAGTCGCTAGCCAGGTGGCTCCATGGATGTAAAGCCTGATAACATTGACACCATGTCAGGCGTTTGGGGCAGGCGAGGTGGTGACCCAGCACAGCAGACAGACTTGCTGCTTTGGGAACAAAATACCTGATAAACACCAGCTTGAAGGCTAAGAGTATGAATATGCCTGGTTTTAAGGCTTTGAAAGATTGATGTATACCCCTCTGTGATGGGAATGCACCTCAGACCGTGAGCTTCTGTACTTTTCAGGTCCTTTGGCCCCAGAAAAGGGACTCATTTCACAGCTGATCTGTCTTCATGGAGAGGGGTGCTCCAGGCGCCAGCATCCCTCAGGGCACGTGCCCTGTGTGCAGCCCTCAGCAGAGCCCGCAGTGAAAAGGACAGGCAGACCAGATGAGGAGTGGGGTTGGATCCATTCCCACCACAAGTGGCTGTGTTCCTGAGCTGTGAGGTTGGGCTCCTTGGGCTCCCCAGGGGCCTTTCTGCTCCTGTTCAGGGGAAGGTGCTGTCTCTTGGTGTCTCTTCGCAGCCAGTGTCAAAGACCAAGGGTCTGGGCCTTGAGCTCAGTGTGGGGTCCCCTGCCTTCTGATGGATACATTATTTCCATAAATACACTAAGGACCCCTCCCCCCTCAAAACCCCAAGATTACTCTTACAGGCTGCAGAGGCACTGTTCCATCCTCTCTCTGTGGGGATGTACTGGGTTTTTGAAATTTTTATATTTCTATCTGAAGGCAGCCGACTTTTCACATCCTCTGCTGAGGGAGGCACCTCACTGCAACATCACACACCCCCTCCTTTGCCTTAGTCAGATCCTCTCCACTTTCTGTAAGTCAGCCTCCTCCATGCCCCCCACTGCTGTTTACATTTAATTGTCTGCTTGATGCGAACATATTATTTTGATAGGCTCAAGCAGACATCAGGTGGGGAGAGAAACAATACTGGGGCACCAGGAAAAATTAGGATGAATAGCTCAGCTTGATGTCAGGAGTTGGGGGGTAACAGAGCCAGCAGTGAAAAGGAGAAGGATGTGGTTTGGAAGCAGAGCTGGGGACAAGGCTCAGCTCTCGTGGAGCTTTTAGGCGGAGGTCATGGTGGTATCCTAACCACCCCCACTCCCCAACACACACATGAAAAGGATCTGTGTCTGTTCTAACTTCCTTATCTGTCTGCTGGGAGTATTGTCTAGGAGGTAGGCTCAACATAATAATGGGAAGAATGGGTGAAACATTGTTCAATATTCTTTACACAGTGCAAGAATACATTGTTCCCTGTGGGGGATCACGGGGAGACAGTGTAGCCCAGAGAAGGGACATAGTGGATCTCTGGCATCTTGTTGCACTGATGGACAGTGACTGCACTGGGGTATGGGTGGGGACTTGATATTATGGGTTCATGCAGTAACCACATTGTTTTTTCATGTGAAACCTTCATAAGAGTGTATATCAATCATACCTTAATAAAAAATTAAGGAAAAAAAAAGAATGCATTGTTCCCAATTGTTCTCAAATTTATATTTTTTCTTTTCAGGGATCAGCATCTTCTGGACCCAACTCTGGAATATGTGAAGGTAAGAAACCAGGATTTAACATGTAATCAGGACCCTGTATAATGTATTTCCCATTTTTAACACAATGTTGCTAAATAATGCTGGCCAGTCAGATTGGACAACCAGGAGGTAATTTGACTCTTGTAGGCCTTTACTAACCTTTGAAAGGGTCTACGTCACCCTATTACATAGGTCTATAATCTTTTTCCCCTTGTCTGAAACCCTTGGGGCCAGCTATGTTTTAAAATTCAGAGTTTTTTAATAAAGGTAATATGGTATATATATCTGTAACACCCTCAGAGGAGCCTAGGGTAGGTACCCCATAATCAAACTAATTATTGCAGCAGCAAAATGTAAGAATATTCACACTAAGCAGGATAAATAGACCGCAAATGATTTTATGTACTTCAGGATACATTTTGCCACCAAATGAAGTCAGGTTTGTTATGTTGCCAACCAAGTTATTTTTATGATATTCAGTTTTCACACTTTTTGGGTTTGGGGATTGTAGATAAGGAATAATGAACCTGTTGTTATCTTAGCGGAGGACTGAAGGCTTCCTGAGTCATCTATTCCTATTCAGCAGTCCCTGTTCAGTGGCTGATCTGGGCCCAGGAGCTGTGGTAATCCACTCCATCCCAGTGGAGCAGGCATTCAGTGCTTCTAAATATGCAACATTTCTAAACAGTGATTTCCTTCAGAGCAGAAAGAAAAGATGCTTTTTACTCTCTGCCCCCAATTTTTTCAGGTGTGTATGTTTATTTCATATTTGACAACTGCAGTTAAATCTGGTACTTATGACAGAAAATAGAACTCTGATTTGTCACAGTTTCTTGGATTGTGACGACATACATTATTAACTTTCAGAAGAACTCATGGTATGAATTAGGGCTTACGGTGCTTGCCTCCTATGAGCCACAATCCACTTCATTATTCCAGGGGCAGCATCCCAATTTTGGAGTATTTAGGCCTGTTGCTTTTTTTGGGTACTTGTGCCTACCCTGTTCTTGGCATTTCTTCCCTCTTTTGACCAGAGGATGTCTGTTAGAGGAGAAGCCCTAGTACAATCTCTTGATCACTTGAGGCAGTCATAATAAAGTTTGTTAGAATGGAAGTAGATACTACTGTCTTTTCCCCTCTTGATACCCAGGGTAACTCTGAACTGAAGTTTCACTGGAGCAAATGTGTAATGATATAAATGATGTCTGTGTTCTTCCTGGATGCAGCACATATATTTTTGTTCACGTTTGTGAACTATAAAGCATCAGGGGACACTATTCACAGAGACTGTGATTTGACTTGACCACAATGATAAAAAATGTGCCCTGAATTATGCAGTGTGTAAATCACAGTGGCCCTTTAAAGCTCTGTCCCTGCCATGTTCCAGAAATTGGCTGTCTCCCTCAGCAGGCTCAATCTGGCTGTGCTTATTTAGCAGGCACACCCTTTTCTCTCGCTCCAATAACTAGTTTTTGCTTTTATAAAAGTCCAAGCCTTTTAAGATAATCCAGTGATGAACTCTAAAGCTAAACATGAACTTTTTGGAATAATCTTAGTATTATCTAAGCTATTGCATCTTATTCATGAGTGTCAGTCGTTGTACGTTGTGTTCCTAAGAAGAGATAGGGCCATCCGTGGCTCCTGTCTGGCTGGGATGTGATGGAACTGCTCTTGGTGGCTCTAGGGGCGCTTCTTTCCAAAGACTTGGTGAGGTGTCCCGAAGGTTACTCTGCTCCCAACCGCTCAAGTCTAGTCAGAGCTTTATAAATGAAGGCTCTGTGTTCCTCCTGAGCACATCACATACTTCTTTTTTCTTTCTCACTTTGCCCTTGCTTTGGAGGGATAGCTTGGGGATTTGTTGGGTGAATGTTGGGTATTTCCATTTGCTTCTGTGAGTGCTAAAACTCTGACAGCACATTCATGGAGGCCTTTGACCTCAGAGTCTGAATGGCCCCTGCATGTCAGTCTTCTCAGGCCGGTGCAAGCCCATCCTGTCATTTCTCAGACTTAGCAGCTGTCTTGAGCCTGGCTGACAAATCCATGCCACTCAGTCAGTGCCAGCTGGTGCCTAGTGACTGGAGGCGGGGCTGAAGCTAGCAGAGGAAGGTGAGGCAATTGTAGATAAAGTGGGGTGAGGTTGGGCCCCTCCGACTTTGAGCTGTTTCTTCCCTTCAGTCCCCTTGTGCACTTCGTGCCTCTTGAGCATGGAGAAAAGTAGAGACTCTAAAATATGCTGCATCAGATAAGGGCCTTTCTAGTAGATTCAGATTTATCAGCCTGAAAAACGAGAGTCAAGATACCAAATTTTTAGGGACTTATTGTGACCTCAGAATGGGGGGCAGTTTGATAGCTAACTGAATCTCATGTCAGCAGAGGAAGCAGCCAGGTGTGGTCACCAGACAGCAGTTGTCATCCCAATGGGAACTCTAGGCCCAGGTCTCTCTTTGGGTCTTCAGATGCCTCTCTCCTTCCCAAAGGAGACTTGGTAACCATCTTCACCTTATTTCCCCACTGCTCAGCTCCAACAGAGATCTGGGACTCCCTCCGCCTCCTTGGGTCTCCGGGAGCTGGTGGGGAGATGGGGCTGCGGTATGGTGGCAGGAGAGAGCTGAGTAGAGAATGAATCCAAAATTCACTTCTGTGGTGTGTGCCTCTGTGTCCTAACACCCCGAGCTGTCTGGATTGCAGCACATTAGGGCACAGTTGCTAGGCTACAAGCAGCTCCCTGGTGCCCAGAATGGGGGGGAAAGTGCAGGCCTGGGAAACTCCAGGGCTGTTGGCTGTTCTTTCGCCTCCGCTGGGGGCCTCCCTACAGCACCTAGACCCTATGGCTGAATTCTGCATTTGGGTGTGATAAGAAAACTAGAGCAGGTCCTAAGTAGCCCTGGGATTTGGGAATCTCCTGTCTCCACTGTTTCTACCTCTTTAATTCCTACCATTAAAGAGAAGACTTTTGTTTTCTCTTTTTCTTCTTGTACTTTTTTCTTGCTTTCCTGGCCCTCCTCTCTCCCCACATTTTTTTCTCACAGTAATGTAAAACAAAATCATCTTGAAAATCTGATTTTAACTATTTTGTATAATCATGAGGTCATTTTCCATAGTCACATATAATTGATTCTCTCATTGTTTCTGAAAGAAACCACTTCTTCCAGAAACCTCCATGGCGGCTCCACCTTCTTCACTTTAGTGCTTAGTGACTTTAGTTAGCAGTGTACAGCTTTGGAATTTTCCTCTGCGTACCTAGCATACCTTACACCAGATAAAACCAACTTCTTTTTTTTTTTTTTCTAATTTTAACAGAGGAAATCTCTTTAAGAGGAAATAGCCCTGGGCAAAAATCGTAAAGAAGTTTTTTATTTTCTGGGTTCCTTTACCAGCTAACTTCCTTCGTTTGTGTGTGTTAAAAATCTTTTCTTTTAATTTAAATATAGTTTATATACAGCATTATATTGGTTTCAGATGAGCCAAGTCACACAACCCCTAAGAATGCCCAGGGAGGTGAGCCCGGCCAAGCCCACCCTCTGGTTCTAACCTAGTGATCATCAATTATGTATTTAACCAAATGCCCACCATGCTGAATGCAGCCACCATCCATCACCACACAGCGATATCACAACATTTTATGCTATAGTCCCTGGACTGCACCTCCATCCCCCCGACTAAACTATGTTATAATTTGAAGTTTGAACATCTTTATCCCCTTCACCTGTTTCACCCATGTCCCAATGTCCACGCCATGGTAACCAACCGTTAGTTCTCTGTGTTTATGAGTCTATTTCTGGGTTGTTTGTTGTTTTTCAGATTCCACATACCCCATTTGGTTTTTGGCATATTTTTAGCCCCATTAAAATGTACTTACTCAGTGTCTAGTTTCTTAGACCTGTGTTTGACAGCTGCTTAGAACATTTGAGAAAAGAATTGTACTAAAATGTGAACAAATGATAATGGCTTTGTGTGTTCGCCTCCCCAAATAGTGCTCCAATAGCACGCAGCCCTAGGATGCCCAGGGAGGCAAGCCCAGCCCGGTGCACCCTCTGGTTCTAATTAGCAGTGTGACCTTAGGCTATCACCTTCTCTCTGTGGGTTCCAACTTCCTCACAACCAGAAAACCAGAGGATGAGTTAATGTCCCTTCTAGTTGAACATTTTTAAGATCCTCTATGCCTGGAGGGAAAAGTTTTCTGTCCAAGTGGAAAAGGGTTCTTAATTAATCTATCATTCTGAACAATTGCCACATTGATTGGAACAAGGACAGCAGTTCATGTTGTGTCTCAGACATTAAGACCAATGATGTGGCAGATAATTGCCCACCCATCACATTACCTCTGAAGACTGGAGATTTACCCCAGCAATCCTACATTTGTGATCCGTTATGCTTTCACTTTTTTAACCCTTTCTTGAACTTATGAAACCTCCTTTCATTTTCACTCCTTATCGTTCTTTTCACTTTTTCCCTAGAGCTATTTCTTTAAGCTTCAGGAGTTACACACACAAACACTAGATTTTATAAATATGTATTGTTTCCTTTCTCCTTCCCCTTTATACCTATCTTCCTTTTAGACCAAAGATTCTAATTCTTTCTAGCTCCTTCACACACAAACTTTATGGTCATTTTAATACAGACTCTCTTTTCTGTGAGTGGGTTCATTTAAAAGTATGTTTTTTAGGGGAAGAGCAGGCGATTTTTCTTTTAGAAGAAATGTTTATTATAGATTTGCATTTAAAATAAATTGACCTTAAGAAAAATAAATTGGAAAATATAGTGAAGTAGAAAAGAACAGTGGGATGACTGTTTTTCAGATCAGCCAAGATGTATACAAGCCTGTTTTCATGGCCAGGCTGAAAAGAGCACAATGCCCAATGGACAAAGGTCTGCTCTCCAGGCAGCAGCAGTCAGTACGCGTCAGGACGGAATGTAGCCTTTTGTTCCTGGCTAGCTTCCTAGGGAACAAATATCCTTTCTTTTGTAGTCAGCCTTGGTGGATGCTTGCTAGAACCACTTGTGAGCTTTTATAAAATGAT